CAGCATACTCCATGCCCATTGCTTTCACTCTTCCTACAGTGACAGCCACTGGCGACACCACCAGTGGGCCCTCCTGTGTAGGTCATATGAAATCAAAAAGTATCGACCATTTCCCCATCTTTCTTTCCCTTTTGTAAAGTGAGGGACCATCACCCCTCCTTTCTTTAGTCCTGTTTTTTCATCTCATTTGGCTACACACCAAGACCACGATGGAGCGGGAGGGGTGCTTTTACAATGAGTGCACTGCAATCCAGGCTTGGATCGGAGCTTTGCTTTTCAGACTTCAGACATTGCTCCAATATACAAACCACCACTAGGCTGGGTGCACCCACTGGAAAGTAATCATAGGGACCACTTGATAAAAGGTCCTGGTCGTTACTTTCTCAAGGTGTTTTGTCCAAGAACTGACATTTAGTGAAACTGAAGAAATATATTCAATTTCCCTCAATTCTTTTGTGCAACTTCTGCCTCAGGGTGTTACATACTAATACCGTGTGCTGTTAAATATCGGTTGTGCTTTATTCCAAGGTGACTAAAATAATGATTTCTTCTGGTTACTAAAGCGTTTGGAGAGTTTCCAGGATGAAAGTGAATACAGAAATGCCAAACATTTACTATTCTCATAGACAGTCATCAGTGCTTTATGAACTATCCCATTACACCCAAAAAATATCATTGTGGTTTCACAAAGGGTCTTGAGAACATTTGCTTTAAATTGAAAGACTCTGTTTCTACTATACCAAGAACAGTGTTAATATTGATCCAGGTGCTCTATGGAGCAATCTAATCTTTTCATTGTGGCACTATTGAAAATCTGGTCTGGTACACTGGTAAAACTGCATCTTTCAAAGTTATCAACATTAAAAAAACAAATTGTTACATTTTTCATTAATTAAAAAAGGCTTATAACAGCATTAACGATCCTTTCATCGGAGTGTGTCATTTAGGCAATGGCAGCCTAGCACATTAACTTCCCTTGGCTTTGCCGTGGCCTTTTAACTCCTCCAACTGATTATTGCCTAATTTGTAAAGTCTCCCAAATGGGTCATTAGCTCTTAAACACATTTCTCCTGCTGTTTGGTATATACCCTAGAAACAGTAGGCTGTCAGAGAGATAACTGGTTTGGAAGTAGCTCTTTCTGGGAAGAAAAAGTTAAAGAAATGCCAGATTAAATAAAGTTTGCGGAATGAATCATGGCTTGAAATATCCCCGATACATGATTAACTAAGACATCACACAGAATTTATTTTTTTCCACAAAAGAGGACTGGCATCAGAGCGTATGCAAGCATATGTGCCCTTGTAAGCACCTGCAACTCCTGCTGCTTCCAATCCGTAACAGCACTCGTGCAACCAGGCAGCCATCTAATGTGCTAAACTAGGAAACCAAGGAGAAAGGCTCATGGGGCCAGGCCCTGTACTCCTGGCACGGTGACGTTTCCAGTCTGCCTCCCCAGCTCAACCAAAAAATCGTGAGCCAAAGGCAGAGCAACCCGGGACCACAAGAAAACCAGCAGCATTCGGTCCAAGTATATGAACTGCCCAGGGCAACGCCACATTCACCGACCAAATTAGTAATATTGTCCACTGCCATGAGAGAAAAGCGAAAGATCATTTGGCCTTTCCTAGCCATAGATTACATTTTTGTATTTTTTTTTCTTATTTTAAAATATGATGGAAGGCATTAGACTGAAATAATTCGGCATGACTAAGTAAAAACTCTTCGTACCAACCCACTCACCTGCAAGCTATTCATGTGAAACAGAATAAATGACTAGTGGTCAGCAGTATCTACACTGCAGGAACTTTGAATATGGAGGTGTTGAACAAATTAAGTGTTTCCACACAAAGAAAATAACGCTTAAGGTATAACATTTCAACTTTTTCAACTAAATTCAACTAATAAAACTTCAGCATTAGCAAATGTTCCCATTTGTTTATGCAGCAACTTCTTTGTTCTATTCCTTTACTTTTATAAATCTTTTTGTCTCCCTCCTCCTCTTTGGCTGTCTCAGTTTGCTTGCTTATTTTTCAATGGAATCACCACCTCTTTCTGAAAATAGGCTACTCTGTATTAGTTTCACCTGGTTTGCTGGAAGGGCAACACCTTGATGTTTTATGCTCTTAGCAAGGACAAGAGATACGGTGTCCTTTGAAATTAAAATCATTGCCTGGTATGGCCCAATATAGGTGAATCTGCAGAACATTGATTAACATACTAAAATCCACATCCTCACTAGTGTTTTCATAGCAAACAAATAGCTCTCTATCGCTATGAAATTCTTGATTTCCTATTTCCATAATTTCCCCCTGGAATAAGCCAGGTATACACTGTAAGTACTTCAGTCACTATGACCATTATGCAACATCATCAGAGGCAACACACAATCACAAAGCTGAAAAACAGAGGACTCTGTGATCAAAGACTTTTAGTTATTTTCCAGAAATGCCTTTTTATTTAAGAAGTCTGCTTTATAACTTGTTCTGACAAATGTCACGGCTGGAGAAATTCTTCCTCTAAGAAAAGATTTACGATCTATAGGATAGTTTTCTTTCTCTGTATTTTTCAGGGGACTGGATTCATCAAATACAAACTGCTCTTTGATTTGTGTGTCTGCATGTTCAGCACAAAGAAATGAAATACAAGAACGGGAAAAATGACAATACTCTTTATCTATAGGTAACTTCTTGGCACAGAAATATCATACGGTGTGATCAACTGGAAAGTGCTGAGGTACTAGTGTAGAACAATGTGGCAGAATCAGGATTTCCTGCAGAGAAAACTAGGCTTATTCTGTTCTTCACGCAGGCCACCATGTTGGCAGGCACATCAATACCGCAGCAGATGGTTTTGAGTAGGGACTGCCGAAACACCGCACGCAGAAGGCTGCCCTTCATGGGAGGATTTCAGTTGAGGAGCATCCATCTCTTGAGAGGTCATGGTAGCAGCTGAAATGTCACAGGGCATAGCCCAGAGCAGAAGTAATTGTAAAGATAACATGTTCAGGGCAGAAATGAGAATACAACTTTCCTTCCTTAGAGACGAATCCAAGGAACCAGCAGAAACCAAAACCTGTGACACAGCTTAATTTTCCTCTGACTGGGTTACAAACACCTAGGTAGCTAATGGGCCTGTGACTCAAGGCTCAGTTTGGCCAAGGGCCACAACACAGATCTTCTGAACTTAACAGCAGTGAGGACTGAGGCCATTTGCACTTTCAAGTGGGGTTTCAAGAGGATAAGCTTAGTCACCCTGGAAAGGACAAACAAAATTACAGAATCCGCGCAAGAACAGTCAATAAGGTCTTGTTTACAAGAAAGCCTCTGGATAACTTTTGTGCTCAAAGCTAAAAGGTTGCTTGAGTTCTTCCCTGAATCAGGACTGAACGCCAAAAATACCAGACTTAGGACGTGACGAGAGGTTGTCAGTTGACTTCACGGCAATATGGTACCACCTTTTGCCAGCTGCTTTTTTGTTCATTAATACACTGATACACCTGAAAAGAAGATAAGGGCTACATTGGAAAGCATTTAAATGCGTTCTGATCTCTGGGAATCAGCAGTAACCTGAAGTCGTTCCCTCTGAAAAGGACACAATGCCACAACTGTCCTGAACTCTTAGGTGTCGTGTTTTTGTCACTTTCTGCTATTTCGGCTGTAACGTTCTCAAACTGGCCAGCCACCCTACTCAAGCTAAGGGCATTCAGCATTTTTAAAGGCCCAAAAGAGAACCACTGTCTTTGTGGTTTGCATATAAAACTGAGAAAAATATTAGTCTTACTATTGAAGGATGATGCTTTAGGTAATGGGATACTCTGTTCTGAAGTCAAATAGCTGCTGCTGAATTACAGTTAGCCCTATAAGTATATGAAACATTTTAAATCATAAAGATCTGTACTTTACATAGTAGAGATTAAGTAATTTTGGACAACATGTGTGACATGTAAAAAGTATTATTTGGTGACTTACCGTTTTAAAACGCCCAAGACAACATTCAAAAGTAATCTGGTGCTCACTGTCTCTATGTTCATCTCTTTGGTTAGAGAATGCTGAATATCATTATTACTGGTAAACAATATTTAAAAAAAATAGTCTTTATGCAATCCAATTGAAGACAGATCTATCATGTTTTAATATTTGGTTTGTATTTCCTCTCCCACTCATGAGTTTTCCCGATCCAGTAGTCTTTAAAAAAATCAAAGTATCATTTGCTGATAAAAAAGGCATTGTAGCATATTTCCAATGTATACAGTATTTAAGTCCAGGTAAAAGTAAATCAGCTATAAATTAGTGTATTTCACATAGAAAAATGATCTTTATGTTTACATTTTAGGCCACAAAATAGTCTCAAACTGTTTAAAAGTAGGCACTTATAACAACCTGCACTTGGCCAAAAAGAATATCCACCATTTTTTGTTTACTGAATAGCTCTGACAGCGCTTCTCTTTGTGATATGCTCATCAGACCAACACGCACAGCTGATCACCGGGTACTATCAGCCTGAAGTAGAAACTGAAAATAGCTTCAGTCATCCTTGTTCTTCCTTATTTCCCTCATTTCAAGGAAAGCCATAACAGGTACTTGAAGACAACAGTTGGAGGTTTCCCCCAAAATAAGCCCCAGCAACTGCCTCTCGTGCTTTCGAAACAGCTTGTTGAACAATTTGCACCACTTGCATGTTCTTACACGGGAAGACCCCCACTCCCATGCACTGTAACAGCCTGCAGCTGCAGCTAAGCACTGGTGCTAAGCACTGTTCATCAGGCACGAACTTACGGGAACTGTTTCTTTGGTCACGCGTTGTTTAATCATGAAACATGATGGTCCAGAGTGGACAGCATTTTTCTTCATCTCGAGCCATGGCAACCCTCCCAGGTTATCTCAACACCTGGCCATGTGTTGATGCAGACCCCATCCTATTTGTCCCTGAGCTGACAGTATTTGTTCCAACAGTGCTGGCTGTTTCAACAGGCAGTTAATAACCATGTGAAGCCATGTAATTATTTCCCTGAATATCCAGGGTAAGGAGGGGGTGGGGGATACTGTATCGAAGTCTGTGGAGTTGGAGTATAAGGTGGAGGTAGGTCAGCTGGGTACTCCATTTCGTATTCGTAACTATATGGTGGTGGAGACACTGAAATAGGAGAAAAAAAAAGACATAGTTAAAAATCTTTTTTTCAGATGCAGGCTCCCAAGCATTTTCTAGTTGACATTCAGACTTCCATACAACAGATGTAAAGTCTCCTGGCAATGCGCTCACTTTTTTTTCAGACTGTCATTATACAGTCACTTTATGTCAATGCAAGTCCTTGCTTATTGCCCTTTCTTTCACTGCTTAGCTGTGTGTCCACTGACAGGTCGTGCCAGTAACAATGTTTGAGTGGCCACATGACAGGCGATACCAGGGTGATGCAGCAGAGCTAAACTTTTTCATGGGAGGAAGGCTGTGTTTTTATCAGATCCATTCCTTTTCACCCCCTTCAGCAGCGACATGGACTTATGTCATCTCAAACTGACAGCATCACCAGGGCTTCCACAGACCTCTCAACCACCCTCTGGATCCCCAAGAGATGTGTGCCGTGCCATGCCATGCCATGCCATGCAAAACACAGCTGAAAGCTGCTCACTGCGCAGCATCATCACACCTTCCAGGGCAAATGCTGGACGTCTTCCCAGGATGTTCCCAGGGCTCGGGCTAAGGAAGAACAAAGCTTTCACCTTGTTCACCCCCACAACAGAGATATCTGAGGAGAGCCCTGCATTTGTAAACTGGGTCAGGCATTTAGAAAACAACAAAAATATTCACAAACAGCTGAAAACATTTTCTCAACTACTTCTAATAACCTTACAGAGGAAGGATTAATTCAGTGATCATAAAGACAGTAAATGCTGTAGAACAACAGCATGGTAGGAACAAAAGGCTCCATATCAAGACCCCATTAGAGTAATCTCTACAAATTTTAAGACCCAGAGCCGGCTTCTCTGTTCATGTCACCACAGACGCTTTCTTATCCCCTCCCTAGATGTCTCAGGCAGACTGGCAGTGAAATAGCACTTGAATAGAGAGGAAACAGAAACGTAGGATGTTTGTGATTGGGGGAAGAGACTCAAATCCCAGTGTGCCATGAAAAGCACTCCCTGGTCTCTGAAAACCCGGCTGCTGCTGTGGCTGAGGCCAAAGAAAGGACATCATCTCATTTGCCATTCCTATCCAAAACAGGTAATGGCAGGGAGGAGGGCTGGTCACAAACCCTGCAGCCAAAGTCAGGTCAGTCATTACTCCATAAGTGTTCATGACAGCGGGGAACACAGAAATAATTTCAGAGCTTCCCCATCCTCAAAAAAACTGCTGCTGAGAGGAAGAACTGCTTGAACTAATGTTTGCACCAGGAATGGGGAGCATGCATAGTCAAACTGTCTAGATAGAGGTGGAGAGACAGGAGTGAGTCATTGCAGGAGCAGACTTGGAGACAAAAGGACTACAGCCCTGGACTCTTCATTTTGCTCTTGTTTTTACAGCTTGCAGTGACTATGAGATTCTGAAGCAGCTCTTCAGCAATTCGTGGTTGAGGATATTGTGGTTTTCTTTCATTACTCATCCCTCTATGCAAAGATGGTTTTAGTTTAACTGGAAAGTAAGAGCATGAGGGAGAAAGCAGACACTCAGAGCAGTGAATGCGATAAAGGAACACAATAAATATTGCATAGCTTGCCTATAAGTATACATAATGCACCTGGGGTTTGCTGCAACCTTTGCAACAGGAGGGAATATAAAGGCAGGGGCTCTCTAAGAGTCGGATGAAGGGACTTCATCCGTGAAACACTATTGCCTTTTATTACAATGAACTCTCAAGTTATCCCAAGGCAATCGCTCCTGGATTTGTAATTAACAATGCCACTGAAGCAGAGACATAGCTGCATTGTATAAACACCGTTATGCTGCTTCCAGGGTCAGCTTTGCTCTTCAACAATGTGGTTACTTTCAGGTGGTGGGGAACCCAGAAAAATGAGCCTTGCAGACCCCAGCTGGCTCGATGCGGATCCACCTTTGGTCCTCCTGTACCCCAATTCTAAACTGGTGTGAGTTGACAAGCATGGTGTAGAGTGGCTCTGCACTGAGCTAGCTCAGGTACAGCCTGGTGTACCAGCTCCCACTCACTATGGGCACAACTGCACTGGAGCAGATCCATGAGGGGTACCTCCGTCCCCTGGGATGTCCCAGAGCTCAGTGCCAGATCTGACTTAGGCTCTGTGCCTCCCCTGGTGCTGCTCTGCACCTATAAAAACATGATACCAAAACAATGTAAACCCACAGACAAGCCTGCATGGAGCACGTCCAACTTTAAACTTGAGCTAACGAGCACCTCCAGATCTCAGCTAACTTTGACCAAGGCACAACGGGCATCGCTGCACCATGCTCCAAGTTCCTATGAGTTCAGGCATGGTGCCAGGTGGATGCAGAGAGCTAGCTTGGATCCAGTGCCTCTTGCCAGCCAGCAGTCCCTCCTGAGACACATGGCAGAGAATGCCCTGCAAAGACCGCCGTATGCCTTTGTAGAAGTCACCTGGGATCCTGCAGCATCCAGCAGGGCTTGTGAGCTCTAGCCAAGTACCAGCCAGCCGAGGCCACATTAGACTCCACATGACACCACTCAAAGTCCTTGTGCTATGATCCACAGACCTCGTTGTCCAGGATTTTCCCTCTCTGTGGTATGTCAGGCCCCCATTGTATCGGGCAATGAAAGGGAGCTGACTGCACGTGAACAAGAGCAAATACAAGAACCAGAACACAAAAGAAGAACAACTGATCCATCGCCAAAAAGCTTCTGGCATGGGGAGAAGGTCTACCCTGCACAATGCAGCATTGCCCTGAGCGAGCTCTCAACGCGCTACTGCGGGCACCGCAAGCCATACAGCTGCGTGAGCGTGGCACCTGGCCAGACCTCATTAGCCCACTGAGTAGCTGAATAAATTAGCCCAGGCAGAGAGCTGCACTGATGAACACTGCGCACGCTGAGCTGTCTTGCGTTTCTCAGCAGGCAGTTGTGCTGTTTCCCTCTGGACTGAGAAGAGCTGCCCGCTGTATTCACATCTCCCATTTAGTGCAGAGCCATAACTATCCAAAGATATGCTCCTACCATGGACGCCGGCACTCTTGCAGGGGTGTCATTTCACTTCCTTACCTGGGTATGTGCTGATAGTGTTGATGTGTGTCGTTCGGATGACCCCTACTCGAGTCCCACGGTTGTTCTTCATGCACATGCAGATACAGATGGCAATCCCGGCAATCACTCCCATTATAAATACTATACCAAAAACAATTCCAGCTATCGCTGTTCCTCTGCAAGGGGAATGGAAACATGCAGTCAGTCTCAGCCAAATCACATCTACAAAACAAAATTCTTTCCTCAGGAGCGGCCCACATTTGAGAAAAAAAGTGCATATTGATTACTGAAAATGCTGCAAATTTTGAACCATCAAGGCATTTGAATAGAAGAAATGAAAGATCTCAGAGACCCAAATGAGAAACTCTTTCAAGGTCGACTTTGCAATTGTGCCAGATCACTCTGCTGATCTACCCTTTGTTAAATCCTCCCATTCCAGGACCTTCTGAATTTAACAACTTTTATATAATACCAAGAATAATTTCTTTCCTTTCCTCTCATCACACAAGACTTTTGTTTTCCTGAAAGCATTGGTATGATTTTCTTTTGAAAAGAAAGAGTAAGTTATCCCCAGTAATATATTCCAGAAGCATTCCGAAGAACCTGCATGTTGTGCTTCCACAGGAACGGTTTTGTCATTGTTTTATCTTAGGTCAAAAAGTCCTTTTGCTGTCCTTCTGAGCCCATAGATTAAGGAAAGCCTCCTCTTCTTGAGGATGAGCAGCAAAAAGCAAAGCAAATGCCCACTCTTTCACACATCTGCTGCTGCAGCCAGCACAAGTATTTGAGGCTTAAACGATTTCTTTTAAAACGGTCCAGAGGAAAGAATTTAGCTCAGCCCCTGAAGTAATGAATCAGACTTTCCTTGAAATTATATAGAGAAAGGAAAGGATGCCTTATTGCACTGACATATGGGAGAAAAACCTCACCAAGAGGCACCGAAGAGCTCCCAACAATACTGAGGGCAAAATCAGCCTTTCTGATGAACCCTAGTTCACTCAGGTTTGTTGTCAGGCACAGGCAGTGAAGCATATGTTATATGAAAGATGGTATTTATAGCCTGCCCTTTTATGAAAAAAAAAAACAGTGACTTGCCAGAAATATTCTTACTCTGTGCATCTCTTCATCTTCCAGCAAAGATTTCACATAGCAATCTTGCTGGCAACTTTTTTACTGGACATTCTAATCAATCCAAACTGATAGCTGGTCAACGTGAATAAGCTCCACTAGGAATTATTGCAATGCAGAGAATAAAACAGGCACTGCAGTTCTACAAAGACAAATATTAAAAGGAGTCTAAACCATAATTTGGCTTCCCCATACAAGTGTGAGGGTACGCAGCAGGTCTGATTTTCAAAATACTGAGAGCCTACTACTGGCTTCCAAAAAGTCAGCAAGAGTCAGGATGGACTCAATACTTGAGAAAACAGACCTTCTATTTAGGAACCTGAATATAAATTTAAGAGCTTGTTTTTAGGCCCCAACTATTGAGGAACTTGGCCAAGATTTGCAGTACAATTACTGAATTATATAGCATAAGTAAACACAGACAATTTGCTGTCTTACTAAAATACACTGCCAGGGAACTAAATTGCTCTCTGCTATTATGTAGCAATGAATGAAGAGTGTGCAGGGAGAGTAAACCTGTTAATATCTTGCAGAATATATAAAGGTCTAATTTTATGAAACCCTAACTCACGGCAGCAAGCACCTGGCTGTAAAACCAGTAGCTCAAAACAGTGATGTGATCAAATGCTTTGGTATTCATCACCATGAGTAACTGAGAAACAACTCCTCCCCCTAAGAAGAAGATAGTCTGATGCTCTTGGAAGACATGATCGAGGGATTTCCAGATTTGCCATCCTGCTCTCTCTGGGAACATTATCTCTACCTTGAGAGAAACTGCCACATGAGAGAACAGTTGGATTCAGGACACACTTTAACACAATTTTATCTTCATTCCAGAAAGTTTTCTTATAACACCACAATTAAAAAATCAGGCATCATGCACGGTACCCCTGTTATAAACAACAGGGAATCGCTACTGCTTTTGCTACATCCACTTAGTGGATGAATCACAGTGCTCTTCGCTGGGATGGCCACATCGCAGAGTCACAGGAACTCTGTTATGCTGAAATAATCCCTTTCCCAGACGGAAGAAGCAGAACGATCCACTGTGGACCAGTGGCCTCAGGTCCTGCATTGCATTTCTGCTTTGTACATGGTCTTCTGCTGCCCAGCTCCTGCATCCCAGGTATGCTCTGCCTGGCTGATCTGCTCAAATCCCAGAAGCCACAACAGCTTATGCACTCCTAACCAGCTGCACCCTGAGGAAAATCCAACTTCCATCCTAAAGGCTGACAGAAGTGGGTAACACACTTAGCATACGTTACCTTGCCAGTGCTAAAATAAAAGTTCTATATTAACAAAGCCCGTTTTAAACACAGTTTAAATAGATCTTGTCTCAGCTATCTCCAAAGACAAAGGTGTCCCATTTGTTCCAGAAGTGGTCAGCCAGATGCCATTCGGTCATCTGCCCTTAGTGAGGGCTTGCACTCTTCATGCGCCGGTGCCTACTGGACACCCCAGCCTCACACCCAAAGCCCACTCTCCCCTTCTACATAAACAGCAACTACTCCAAAGCAATATCTCTCCATTATTTAAATGCTGATTCTGTGACACTTTGCATAAGAAGCGAAAGTATTCACAAGGAAAGGAAAATAGATGACAAAAGGTCTGATATCATAGAATCACGGAATCATAGAACTGTTTGGGTTGGAAGGGACCTTAAAGACCATCTAGTTCCAACTCCCCTGCCATGGGCAGGGACACCTTCCTCTAGATCAGGTTGCTCAAAGCCTCATCCAACCTGGCCTTCAACACCTCCAGGGCTGGGGCATCCACAACTTCTCTGGGCAACCTGTTTCAGTGCCTCACTACCCACAGACTGAAGAAACGATCTTCAAAAGCAGTTTCCGCCTTTCCTGAGATATTAAGCAGATACTTATACACATGCCAGCTTGCTTTGGGTCACAGAACTGAGATCCAAGCAGTTGCAGTCCTGTAGCTTTTCCTACTGATCCCTTGGCTGTATTGGCTGACTGGCACTATTTTGCTTCTGCAAAGAAACAGTGGCAGGGCAAGACACAGCTGTAGAAAGCCCCTCTGTATCTGCCTGCATCTGAAATTCAAAAAAGGGCTGAAATCCACTGGCAAAATTTCCAAGTTTGAAAAGGCCTCTCAGTCTAAACACGACTATACTGGGAAGCAAAACCACTTCTGCCTGGCTAGCAAACCCAAGTCAGTAAGCAAAATAAGGAACATCCACTAAAGTCTTCTTTTGCTGGTCCCCACCATAGCTCCTGCTGGTATAGAACCAGAAGCATGAACCATGAACCAGAAGCAAAAATGGTCACGAAAGAAAATATTCACCAGCTTAGCTCTGCCGGTAAAACTGGTTAAGTGCAAGTCTTGCTCATAGTTCTGAAATCAGGACAAAAAGCAGTTTAAATAGTTAGACTCACCACTGCTCATGGATTCAGGTTTTCACACTGCAGGGCTAAATTTAGACCACCTATGGATGGTTACGCAAAGGGAGCCTGAGATACAGAGCAAAAGATGTAGGTCACTTTTTAAATCCGGTTACAGCTTGACCGAGCACCAGCAGAAAGGCGCTTGCTGGTCTCAGTGGGCTTTGGATCAGACCCAGTGCCACGCACGCAGAACTCTTCCAGGAATCGAGTGTTTGAGTTGAAAAGGATCTGTTTGAGAGGACTTCAGGAGAGGTACTCTCCCAAATATATGTAACAGAATATATATAATGCTATACCACTCTCTGACAGCGAGTCAAAGAGTAAACCCATCCTGATTCAGAGACTTGCAGCCCCTGACACTCACAATAGCCTCCAGTAGAACTAGGAGCACTCTGCCTCTAAACATCAGGCTGCACCTTCTTAGCACCAAATCCTGGCGGGACAATGGTCGTGCAGTAGCTGTTCTGGGCACACAGCACAAAAATAAATGCTTGTTCTTTTTGTGGAAAGCCTGTGGCATGACTAGAACATATGAAGAAAAATAAGCATGTATTTTTTATAAAATGGCAAGGTTTCTCTTCATGCTTAGGGAATTTTTGAAAAAGAAATCCTATAAATAAATATCCTTTATTTTATATTAAACCTTGCTTTGTCTCCCTTTCTCTCACTGATATTTTAGACTTCCGTATAGAGACACAGAGGCATACTGAGATTTTTCATGCTATCACCACTGTAGAGCTGTTCAAGGGAAACTGCCTAAGAGAAAAAGGACACTGTAAAGCAAAAGAAGACCTAGAAACCACACAGCAGAGTCACATAGCAACTAGGAAGTTTAAAATAAAGGGAAAACTTTGAAATGGAACAATTTGAAGGAAAACATTATGCAAAGTACTTCACGGAAGCAAAGCCAATGACAAGAAGAAGACTGCCACAGAAAAACAATGCACAGAAAAGTAAAGATGGAGAGGAGGAAAATAAATTTAAAGCAGTGGAAATGTCAAGAGAAATTGCCGAGGTAAAAATCAGCTATTCAAAGAAACAGCTTTCCACCTTATTTACAGCTTAACACTTCCAGCCCGCCAGAGAGAGCCCTGTGCAGGAGATCAGGCCTTCTGCTGGGTGGCACCACGGCCGTGGCAATGCCAGAGCCAGGCAGGGCTTTCATCACTCTTGCAGATGGCGCGGCCGAGAGAGCCAGGGTCAGAGAACCAGTCCATCAGTGGAACTGGAAGCTTAAGCGTTTTACCCAAGTAGCAGAGGCATCACCAGCGGTTGCTCCAGACTGTGACTGCTGGGGTTGAGATGACTGGAGAAAAGGAGAGAGGCTGAAGAGTAACCCTGATCCTTCAGGTCTTAATGAGTGGGAATGGAGCTCATGTAGCACTCCTTTCCTCCTCCAGAAGGCTACTAATTTGGGAGTTAAGCAAGCAAAGTGGATGTCAAATCTGCTCGAGACAAATATTGCCCCTGCGGTCATCTCTGCTTTGGGGACAGTGGATCTTGGTGGCCTAAAAATCTTATGGCTCAATAGGTTAGTGTTTCCTGAAGGAAGAATGATTACTGAGTAGATATCCATTTTCAAATGCATTGCCAAAATTCGGGAGCCAAGTCTCCATGGCTCACACTGCTATATGGCAGGGACT